CTGAACAGAAAAGGCATCTCAATTAAATATGAAATATCAAGATAAATGTCTGAATAAAACATCCCCATCTCAGACTAACTTCTAAATCCTGCTTGTCAGCAGTGAAATGCCATTAAATCCTCTAGGAACTCATTAATAGATTTACATTTGGAAGAGTAATTACATCTACATTAAGACTAAAAATAAAGAAAAATAAAAGAAAATCCAGCATCATTTCTCTAAACTGTTGACACAAAATGAAGATCAATACTAAAAAAAAAATCAGAGGTATGGAATTAAGGTCAAGATGATTATGCTAAAAATAAGCAAGCTGCTCGTATATATTTCTAATAAAACTAGTAAGGATAAAACTCTTATGTGGTGTTTCACATTATTTGTGTGGAATGCCATCTCGCAGGGGTTAGAAAAAAGAGTACTGAGGTGAAATCAGGGAAGTATCTGGAAATTGCAAGAGTTGATGACTTCAGTGCTGTTAACCTATATCACAACTAAAATTAACAATGTCAGGCTTTGTAGCTACAGTTTCTGAGCCAAAGCAAGAAACTATTTTTTTAGTAAGACAGAAATATATTACCCTTCAAAAGGATTAAATACTGAAAAAGTCTTTTTTGAGAATTTATGATACAGCTCTGTAAAGGAAAGAGAAAAGATAAAGTGGGTACTATAGTTAGATAAATAGGTGAGATCTTGAGAAATGTTTTCATTTTTCATTAAATTCTCACAATCTGTAGATTATACATTTATAATTCATTACATTATAACATGGAGTATGAATCCTGAAGATTTATAAAATATGAAGAAATTCAGTGGAGAAAATTCGGCTATTCAGAAATGTTTCTCTCTCAGTTTTATGTACACCAACTGCAGAACCAGGCTGCGCTGCAGTGTGCCAGTGGGAACTGAGCTATTTCAAGAAGAAAAAAAGTAAAATCTATGGAAAGTAACAAGGTTGTAAAATACATAAATGACAAATAAAATGAAGTCATCAATGTGTAAAAAATAAAGTTTTAGATTTGCAATTTTCCTATTTAAATGCCCTCATTGATTTGTTACAAATACTGTTAACCCTGTGTTTGGAAAATGGTGAGGACATTATCACTTGTGTTCTCATTTGTAATAAAATAGATTAACTTGCTGTGAAATTTTAACTAGGCTGAGACACAACAGTAGCTACCTAATGAACCAGAGCACATTGCTGTTAAGTAGCTAAATAGATGCATACTGATTACAGGACTGAAAAATGGATGTGTTTACTTGGAGGAAAAAAAAAGAATATATCTGTTCATAGTGTTATTCATTATAGTAGATGAAATTCAGCATTATACTTCCACACAAACATTTAGAAATAGACAGTTTCTCAATCCATAGGGAATCTGACATGATGACACTATATCCTCATTTCTAGTACATAAAATATAGAGAAAATTTCAGCTCCTTTGTTACATGTAGGGGAAAGTGCATCTTCCCAATACGTGTAAATTTTTGTAACCAGTTAGATATTAGATGGCATAATCAACTTACTCTCTTAGAAAGTGATTCACTGTGTGATTAAGAATGACATTATTATTTGACACGTTTATTTCTGCCTGAACATTTCTAAATAAGACCCCAAGTTTGAAGGCAAATTACTTTAAGCAGAAATTATTTTATAGCAAGAGACAATGGAATGTACAATTATCAGAAGAAGCTAGAATACTTTGCTTTTCTGAGTCATCAGCTTTTGAATTACTCAAGTAACTCTCATTTAAGGTGACTTATATGGCTGTTTGTGTGATAACTGTGTTAATTCGTCGTCATATTTGTTCGTAGGTGGTTTGGGTTGTTTTTTTTTGCTGAACAGTTGGCTCATCTTCTCCTTGGCTATTCATTTTCATAGTTGCAATAGATAAGAAAATTTACTTAAACTCTGCACTCTTCTGTAAGATTAATCATTTCAAAATTATATCTTAATTGTAAATTGAGTACTGGTCATAAAAAGAAAGTAATGCCAAAGAGGATTGTTAAAGCTGAAATCCAGGGAAATAGAATTACAGTCGGAGTTGTAGCCTGTTAGCTGTAACCAGTTATTTACTCAAGGCTATTATTTACATAAATGTAAAAGACATAAGTATTTATAAGGTCAGGATTGCACAGAATCACTGAATGTCTTGGGTTGGAAGGGACCTCAAAGCTTACCTTCTTCCAACCCCCATGTCATGGGCAGGGTTGCCACCCACTAGGCTGGGTTGCCCAAAGCCCCGTCCAGCCTGGCCTTGAAGACCTCCAGGGATGGGCGTTCACAGCTTGTCTCCATTCAGAACTTTATGAAGGCAGAGCAGAGGAGCAGAATCACCTCCCTTGCCCTGCTGGTCACACTTGACTTGATGCAGCCCAGGATACAGTTTTTTTTCCAGGCTGCCCAAGCACGTATTGCTGGCTCGTGTTGAGTTTTTCGTCCACCAGTGCCCCCAAGTCCTTCTCTGCAGTTCTAAATACACTTATTGCCTGGCCTGTATTCATGATCGGGTTTGCTCCAACCCAGACTCTTGGTCTTGTTGGACTTACTAAGGTTTGCTCATTCCTTCACTGTCAGTGTCACCAGCAGGGACATAGATAGTCCCAGAACCAACCCCTGAGGAGCACCACTCATCAGTGTCTCCACCTCAGCACTAAGCCATTGATTCACAACTCTTTGAGTGTGAACATCCAGCCAAGTCCTTACTGACAGAGTGGTCAGTCTGTTAAATCAACATCTCTCCAAATTGGAGCCAAAATTTTGTGCAGGGCAGTCACATGCTTTGTACAGGCCGAGGCAGATGATGTCAGTTATTTGTATATTATTCATCATATACCTAGAAGAATTCTTCTTGATGTAACCCTTTAAATGTCATTTACTGATCAGTAAATCATATCTGTCTTCTATTTTGCTGATCTCAACAACCTCTAAGTTTAGTCTTTTGAAGACCAAGGATAAAACATTGACAACTTTGAGATGAGTGGCTTTTCCTTTTTTTTTCCCAGAATTTGAGTATTTGTTAGATTAAAAGCATTCAGTTTTTAAAATTTTAAAATTTTAAGATCTTGTAACTCAACATGTAGTAGGTTAATTTGTAAAAGCTTAATAAATATTTTAATTAACATCCAAAAGTACTGCAATTAATGGTCTCCCTCCAAGATTTATTTGTTATTGTATGTTCATTAAATAACAGATAATTAGTGAGAACAGTTCCATTGAGGATTAACAGCTATGTAATAGATACACATCTGTTACATGATTTTGAAGCTCAGTTGTTATTTAATGTACAATAACTATCCTATTAAAAACACATTCATTTCTACATTTTTGGGTGGTGTGATTGGAATAGACAAATAACAAATACCACCCCTTGCTATTAGAAGTATCCACTCTCACATACTCTTCACATTGTTCTCAGATGTGTCTGTAAATATGAAGATGAGTGTGCTTTAGAGAGATAGTTTTAATGGATAATAGTATTCTTAAAATGTCGATCCTGCTGCCAGTGTTATTAATGAATTGCCTCAATAGGTTATGAACAGAAGCTATTATGCCAGCTATTGGTAATGGAGAAACTATGAGAATCTAGTGTTCTCTTCCTAAAGCTATAGTATTGATTCAGCATAGTATCTAGCAAAAACTGCATTAAAAGTTTAGATTCTATTGAACATATTTTCAGAAGCACATGGAAAATTGCCACTGAGTAGCCAGATTGCATGCTCTTACTGAAAAATCCGAAATAGATTAGAAAGGCAGAAGAACTGCCAAGTTCTTTTGAGAAAACTTCACCAGATTACAGTGTAAATGTAATTGTGGTTTTTAAAGGGATGGGGGCAAGAGGATCTCCCTTAAAAAATTAAATAAAAAAAAAATCACTGATTTTCATCATATTTCAGTTCTGTGTTTCTACTGGGAACAGCTGATTGCCAAGGATCAGGGCAGCTGCAAAGGTGCAGTTTCTGGGCTTCTCCTTGTTAGTGCCCCTCCACTGAAACTGTGCCTTTAAGGTCTTTCTTACTTGTAACAAAGGATTTAAAATGTAAAATTTAAAGTTAGAGTATCTAGAGTATCTCAGGCCCCTTTGGGAAGAGTTTCATTTTTCATTGATCTTCACAATGATGAAAAGGGGACTGGCATTTTGAATAAACTGAGAATAATGCATGTGGACTCATTGGGTTGGAATGAGTCTCAAGTGGTCATATAATCAACCGTTTTCCTCAAGACAGGATGAATAATTGAACCAGTTAGCAAAAATTTGTACTAGTGGAAGTTCCACAAGTTCTCCAGAGTCTGCAAGTTCAGACAGACAGGTCTATGGAACTTCATTTTTCTAAATTTTACAATTTCTTCTCAATTTTTTTTGCCTTAGAGCACCAGGTATAATTAAATTACGCTTTAATCTCAGAGTTTTGTGCAAAAATGTGCACATAAAAATTTGCAAGCAGTCTTGTTTTTGTTGGTCTGTGGTACTTCTCATCTCAAAGTGAACTTGCCTTTACCGATGTCGTGGCTTTTAAAATTGGACTTTGTGCCCTTCAGAAGAAACTCGTGGTATATTTAAGGACAAGAAGTGATTTTTCTTGCAAATTTACAAATTCAACTGTGTTTAGTGCCAGTTTGTCAAAATTCATTTATGTGACATGTGACTCATACATGCCAATTTCAATATCTGTAGAGTAAAATTAATTTGTACAAACCATGCGAAAAAATATTCTCTATATTTCTATGTGTGAAAATGTTAGATTTATGAAAGAAAAAAGGGTGGTAAGTGCTGTGTCATGACCCTGAGGATGAAAAACTGTGTCTAGATGCATCACATGTAGAAGATTATATTCTTTTTGAGTATTGAAGGCCATACTACTCTTTTGATCTGAATTCTGTTCACTGTTTATCTTAGAAAGACTATTTGTTATTTTTATTTTAGCCACTTTCATTTTTTTTTTATTGAACTTCAGTGAAGTTCATTAATCAAATTGCACAGACCTTGTTTTATTTCTGTTTCAAGGAAAGGATTCAAGACAGCCCTTCTCCAGCTCCATCCCTAGAAGACAGTCAGCGGCCTGGGAGCCATGCTTCCTCTCATCAGAGCAGCAGCGTGTCCAGCTCACCTTCCCAGCTGGACAACACACCAGACAGAATTGGTTAGTGCTCTGCAGCCTCACACCCCATGACAGTTGCTGACCTCACAAATTGTAACAGTTTTTTGAAGCAAATACCTTATTTACTGGGAAACTCAGGAAAGCCCTTTTCTGTTTTGTTTCCTGAAAACAGAAAGAAATGTACAAAAAATCCTACAAAAAATGACCAGAAAGTTCCTCAATACAGTTTGTTGTATTAGATTCAATACTACGCAGAGCCCAACCTCTTATTTTGTGCCTGTATCTACCCATGCACAGAAGATACCATCCCTTCTATGGTGTGACTCACTGATCTTGCTTGCTGGCTTGAGAAAGTGACTCTGAAATCACCTGGAGTTGAAAAATAGCAGGATATGTTTCAAATCCTATGAAAACACACATACGATGATATTTACCTCCTGTTTACTATAAAAACCTCCTGTTGGCCAGACATTCACTCACTGCCATGAAGCTGAGAGCTTTTTGATTTTTTTTTTGTTTTGTTTTTGTTCTCTCAAGAACAATTTTCAGTCTGTACAATATTGATCTTGTGTTTAAAATGCAAATTTGGACTGGAGGAAATTTGGATTCTATGCTTGGTGCTTCCAGGAGGCATCTAGGGCAAGTCAGTTAACATCTCCTTACGTCCATGTGTGTCAACACTGTTGTCTTCACAGAAACTGCAACCTATGCAGACATTGCTGAGCTAGATTTAAACTACAAAAGCAATGCAGTTCACGGCAGTCACTGTGAGCTTCACTCCCTTCAAATTACTACTCAGCAGTTTGCTGGGGATTTTGGAGTTTTTGCCATGGTCCATGCTGCAGTGCCATTGCACTACTTACTTCTGTTGACAATAGACAAACTAATCAATAGAAACTAGGTTGCTTGGACAAAACATAGCATACACAAGGGAAGAACAAGAAAGTAGATGCCCTTCAGCTTCCATATATGTAAACTAGGGCTTCCCTTAGAAACAATGAAAAAGGGATTTTTTTCCCCTTATTGTAATTTTTGAAAGCTATTGTAACTTGTTTTATTAACAGTAATAGCACACAGTGCTATCTTCTGAGCTCCAGAAGTAATAGTGAAAGGGTTTTTTTTAAATAAATAAAATAAAAATGAAACGTACAAATTTTTATATATTTAATAAGTATATATATATATTTTTTTTTTCGTACTTTTACAAGTTTTTCAAGTTTTTCACAAGTTTTATTAAAGAAATTTTGAATTCTGTAATTGGTTAATTGCATAGAAGGAAATAAAGAAAATAGGCATCTTGAAATCATGAGCTTAGCCTGTCTCACTGATCTGGTAGATGTTAAGAATTTTTTTTTGCACTATGAAGTATGTTTTTTTTCCACTTTCATCTATTGGTTTGGGCTACTATTTATGCATCTGATTTTTTTTATTGTGCTTGTTGCTTTACAGATAATTGCTAACACTTACGTCCTTTGCTTTACTAAATGCATTTTTTCCCAAATGATTTCTGTGAAATACTTTCCTAAATTTTTTATTTGAACTCTTTTCTAAAAGATCAATTTTTCTCAGTAATTTTAGTTCTGTCTTGGTGTCTTTTTTTAATCAAGTTGAGCAAGTTTGCTTCAGCTACAAATTCCGCTTTATAATTGCTGAATTGGGAGCTTTATGGACAACAGAAGTGGTCAGCTGCTTTAAAACTTGTATGAATAAATGTTAAAATATCAAAATAATAAGAAAAAAAAAGTATAATTTATTGCTTTCCTCTTTTGACATTTTTAAAATGACAGTTCTTATATAGCTGTGCACTCTCATTTTTTTAGCTATGTTGACCAACAGCAGGGAAGGAGAGCTCATTGATCAAGAAACCGGGACAAGCCTAAAAAAAATGCAAAAGGAGAAAGGTATAACTGCACTTCTTTCTATCTCAGACATTTAATTACACTTACATGTTTTATTCTCTTTTTTAGTATTCTGCATAACACTATAAATCTAAGAAAGCCAAGTGCCTAATTGCAATGAATAATGTATCCACTGGGTTTAGATCACCTTCTTCTTAGAAAGAGTAAACAATCAGGTCTTTGCTTCCCTCTATTTATATCATATGGAGTAATATTTTGCCATTCTTTTTCTCAATTATTTATGCAGTTCCCAGCAACTATTTGATTAGTCACATGATATTGTTTCTTTTCCTCCAGTAGATGTGCATGCACACTACTCTAATACTGGTTCGTAAGTGAGGGAATAAACCATTTTTCATGTTTAATAATGCTACCTGATCTCATAAGAAGCAAGTAAGCAAAGAGGTGATGTTTGGCCTATAGTGTTTGTCCTGTAGGCAGAGAAGTGCCTCCTGATCTTGCACTGATTGGTGGGAGCTGGAGAAAGTTAATATGTCGGTGTATTCAGGTAAGCCCTGGGTCACAGCTGCAGAGATGTGGAGTCTGCAGCTGAACATGGAGGAGGAATGCGGCATTTTGTTTCCTTGTAAATAAAATTTTTAAAAAATCAGTCATATTGCTAGACAAAGTTTATTGTGGCTGTACATACAGAATGCCATACAAAATGAGTACATGCAAAAAAGAAGTGATGTGTAGATGAAGAAACAAAAGATAGCTGAAGGTAAGTGAACTCTAGAGAAGATGCTGCAGAATGGAGGGATAGGGAGATATAAAGGTTTTAAGAAGGAAGGAGAAGAGAAGGAAGTGTCCCAAAGAGGAGACATTGTAGGCTAAATGTAGTTATAAGTCTACTGTAAATGTGAATGTGTTATTATAAATGAAAACTCAAAGTGATGTATGTTTTGATTGAGCTGATTTTAGGTAATAAATCATAAATCTTAGGCCTGTGTAAATGATTGCACTCCCTATATATTTATTTTATTTTCAGAGTAAACGAAAATGCTAGTTATTGGCAATTTTAGGAGCTACTCAAGTAAAAAGAAAATAAATAAATAATAATTTGGAGGCTCCATGTGCCTTGTGATTCCAGAGTTCTATACAGTGATTTGAGTAGACTCATGAAAATGACGGCCACGTTATTGTAAGATGGGTTCTACTCTGTAGACATCTGTAGACATGACTGATCCAGTCATGAGGAGGAAGTGTCTAAAACTTCTTCATGTTTTCTTACTCAACTCCTTCCTGGAAAGCAGAAGCTATTTTCTGTTCTTTGGTTTCTTCAGGCATTTGATCACTTTCCTCGTGAGCCCCATAAAAGCCCATATGTGCCATTTTTGAGATAATCTTCTGGCTGGAACATTTTGCTTAAAACATTCCTCTTGACTCCATTTGGCATTTGCACACAGCACCGGGGGCTAAAGAGCTATCAACTATACCTTTGTACCTGAAATTAAAACAAAACAAAAAACAGCAATAAAAAAATCTTACAGCAATTACATAGATAAATATTTACTGTAAAACTGAAAGTATAGTTGATTTTAATTTTTTACACTGTGTGGTTTCTTGCCACATTTTAAATTTCTTTTCAGTGAAACAATTCAATATCCTATGGGGTTCAAAGATGCAAATCATGTAGTTATTGGTAGTAGCAGGTCTATCACTCAGAACAGATGAAGGAAGTACAGTTTAAAAGTCAAAAAAGATAACTGAGAAATCCAAAAATGTGAAAATGACCTAACCACAGCCACAACACCAATTCCTAGGTTCCTGTGATCACTGAGCATTCTTTGCAATCACAACAAAGATCTGCCAGCAATGTTTTGTGTACCACAAGTCACCTTGTGATTAACGTTGTATGGGCTTGTCCATCTCTGGTCTGCAGTTTTGTGCAGTCTTATTTTCCCCTGTTGAACATGTTCCCTTAAATCTGTTTTTATACGTATTACTTTGACTTGCACTTACGTGATTTTTAGAATGAAATCCAGTATTTAGAGATTGTCCTATGTCAGCTAAAATATTTTAAGTGCTTCAAAATCATAAGAAATTAGAGTTATCATTAAAAAGACAAAATCAAGTGTTCAGTTTTATGCTTAGTCTGCACAGGTCAAGTTTGTCTCTCAGGACTAGAAAGTAATTGGTTTTTTGGCACATGAAGATGCAGTTTTCATGTAATCTTATGGCTCCAGAACTGAAACATTCTGATTTATCATGGGACAAATGTCAAAATTTGAAAAGCATTAACGGTGTACGTCCAACATTTTGAAGGTGATTTCATACAATCTTGGAATTTCACATTCAGCATTGTGGTGGACCTGTATTGTACCTCCTTTAGGAATCTCTGTTTTATAGAAATACGAGCACCATGTAATGGGGGACTGCACCAGTAGGAGTTTCAGTCTGTATTTTCCTTCTAAAATTCCTGGCCTGTCACCCCATATAAGTGTTATTACCCCTCAGGATTTTTACCACTCCAGTATGTATTTTGTTCCTAGTAGTAATAGTATTCTCTTTGCATAATTGTTTTGGGCTCTGGTGCACCTCAAATGTGTTGAACAATTTTTGTGTTCAGATGTGGACAGTTACTGAAGAGTGTGATGTATGCTCAGCGAAAAATATATATGTAATTTGTATACAAGCTTTATTTTTCAAAACTTGACATTGCTTTCACTAAGGCGAAGTATATTTACCATGGAAAACATTTGCAAAGTTATTAAGAAGGAATGTAGTTAAAATAAAAGTATCAACATTTATTAAGCATGACAAGTAAGCAGTTTATACAACCGTGGCAAACATATGTTTTCACATCTGCTTTGAGTAATATCATCATGATTTTAAAAATGATTTATAGCTCTGCAAGCCATAAAATGCCAGCTTTGCTGTAAGTTAAAAGTTTTCAAACAACAAAGAAATTATTGAAGGCATATATTAAGCATGTTTTTGTAACACACCTTGTTAGAACTGCATATCTGAGCTGTTTGTAACAATTAAGACAGAAACAAATGAAAATTAAGTAACTAAAATTTAGCAGTAGTATTACTCATATGAAAGCTTAGCATAAAAAACAATAAAACTTATTGTGATTATTGTAAGCGCTACTGTGATATTCCTCAGGATACACAATTTTATTTTCCTTATGCCATTGAAAGTGTTCTCAGCACCAGACAAAAATATCTCAGTTTGTTCTCATCAAACTAATTTCAAGGTAATTGGGGCTGAAGAGAATATAGCTTAAGTTCTTTCTGACAACACAGTTAATATAAAATTGTTCCAATTATGCTTGTATGTGTTGGTGGGACAGAATTTACAGAATTAAAGGCTGTCTCGTCTCAGCAGGGTTAGAGGTTGGTTACAGACCGTGTCTTTAAGCTTGCTGAAGAAGCAATGCCATTAAATCTCAGTTACTCCACATCCTTTCAGCATCTTCTTAGGAAGTATTGTTGGGCTTAATATTAGAAGACAACTAAATCAAATATATTTATAGATCTGCACAAGCATTCTGCCTGTGCATCCATGTCAGGATATGAGTGAAAACCATATAATGGATAATCTGTACTGTATTTTGAAATTGCTAATGAAAAGAAACAGAAAATTCCCAAGAGAACATAGCCCCAAATGTTACAGAAATGTAAACACAATTTCTTCCTGATTTTGCTTACTTGCTATTTCTGTTTTTAAGCATTAGCTTTTTACCTAATTCCTTACAGTAATTCAATTTTAAATTTGCCTGCTTCGGTATTTATCCTAAAAAAAACCCTCTATTGTATGGGAAAGGATTGTGTTTGACACAGTATTGTATAGGCTTTGTAGAAACGTCCATATGAAGTCTGGCATTAGGAAGGTTAAATGAGCCAGAAAAGAACTTGGCCATACCTGCCAGTAGGACTTAATTGCAGGTACAATTATTCCATGTGACTGTATGACAAAAAATATTTCTAACTCTTCATATGGGATGGAATAATAAAAGACACAACACCAGCTCTTGCCACAGAGAAATCAGTGGAAGTGTTTGTGACGTCTTCAATGGGAGCAGAGTTTGGCTACAGTCTGGTATTTTGGGCCATAGCTCCCCCAGCCAATAGCAGTTGTTATTATCCTAGGCAGGAGTGGTATATACCCATAGGCAGTGCAAATGCTGTGCCTCCCAGGGCAGTGGTGTGCCTGAGCCTGATGAGACGTGGGAACATGCCAGCCCTGCCTCTGTGCTCTGATTTCAGCAGGAGGCAAGCAGGCCTCAGAGAACCACGGCATGCTTTAACATGGCTGTTTGGGGAGCTGGAGTTGTATTCCCTCTAAGTGAACCAGAGTAAAAATTCATAGGAAAAGTCTGCAGATGACTGGTTTCTTCTCACTTACCTGTTGTTCAAGTGCTCTTTCAGCAGAAATGAGGGCTGTGTTTGCTGAGAAAGTGATTTGCTCTGAATCTCTCAGTGCTGCTCAGTGTCCATACTGCCCCCTTTAGCCTGCTTGTCTGCATTCCTGGAGCGCAAGTCTACATGCCATGAGTGTCTCAGATTTCTGGTAGATGGTAGTCTCCAAAGCTGCATCTGGCAGCTATTCTTTCTCATTTTTATTGAAGAACACCTTCACATTTATTACTTCAAGGAAATGGGAATTTTGCATCATTTCTGTCAGCTGAATGAAATATTTTCAGATGGCCATAGATTACAGTAATGAAAGAATAACTGTATCTATTTATTGTGTTTTGTTAGTGGAAAGGGGTTTTTATGGTGTTTATATTAATCATCGCCAAAGGACTAGGTTATTCACGATGTGAGGAGAGGAGAAAGAGCAGGTGCACAACACCTGAAACAGCAACAGGCCCAAGTGGGGGGTGTCCTCCAGAGAGAGGACTTTTCTGACAATTAATGTGAAAGCATCCAGATGGAGAGTGCAAGGAATAAGGAAAGGAACTAAGATTACGAAGCTGTTACACGAATCGTGTATAGAAAGTGTACGAGAGGTGCCAACACTTCAAATGTTCACCATGCTGTTTCTTTGACATT